CTTATAATGGGAATAAAATTTTCAGATTATGCCAATATTGTTTTTATATACAGTACTGAAACCATATTTTTCAAATGTTTAATATACTGTACCCACTTAAATTCATTAAATTGACACTATTTCAGATAAAGCTATCAAACCAACTGTAAAAATCTCTAAATATTATTCCCAATAATGCACAAGGTTTGGTTTTCAGATTATTAATCTGTTTTTTGTTATTTTTTGGACAGTACTGAACCCATTTATATCCATGAAACTTGAACCCCACTTGTTCACCGAGTACTGAACTTTTAATTTTCTAACACTAGCTCTATCTATTCTATTTCTTATATCTACTTTTTATTCTGTTTATTTATTATAAAAAAATAAATAAATGAAAAACCTTGCTATGTGTACTGCGTTAGACTTACCGGGACTTGTCACAACAATACACAACAAAACAAAAAGTGACATTTTTGCTACAATTTCACGTCAATAAAAAAAGTACCTAATTCACACAATATGTTGTTGCGTTAATGTAAATCCCTAATAGAGGCTACACTGTGTGTGTGTGTGTGTGTATGTACTGTATATATATATATGCATGTATGTATGGTGTTCCAGTTTAATGTATTGAAATGGGTTCCAGGAATGTCTAAAAAAATTAAAAGTTCAGTATTCTATATAAAAAAAACATCAGATTAATGAGCTGGAAAATATACAGTTGGTGTGATATCTTTAGTTTAAATGGTGTTCAAGTTTCATGGATATAAATGGGTTCAGTGCTGTAAAAAAACTGATTAATAATCTGAAAACCGAACCATCTGCATTATAAGGAATAATATTTAGAGATTTTTACAGTTGGTTTGATAGCTTTATCTGAAATAGTGTCAGTTTAATTTAATTTAATTTAATTTATACTGTGGGTACAGTATATTAAACATTTGAAAAATATGGATTCAGTACTGTATATAAAAACAATATTGGCATAATCTGAAAAACCAAGCCTTGTGCATTATAGGGAATAATATTCTGAATATTTTACAGTTGTTTTTATACCTTTATCTCAAACGGTGTCAGAGTTTAATTAATTTAAGTGGGTACAGTATATAAAACATATGAAAAATATGTTTTCAGTACTGTATATAAAAACAATAAAGGCATAATCTGGAAAACCAAGCCTTGTGCATTATAGGGAATAATATTCTGAATATTTTACAGTTGGTTTGATACCTTTATCTCAAATAGTGTCCGAGTTTAATTATTTTAAGTGGGTACAGTATATAAAACATGAAAAATATGGATTCAGTACTGTATATAAAAACAATAAAGGCATAATCTGGAAAACCAAGCCTTGTGCATTATAGGGAATAATATTCTGAATATTTTACAGTTAGTTTGATACCTTTAGATCAAATGGTGTTGTCGTTAAATGTATTTATATTATTGCATACATTTAAAGTTGTAAAATGATTATAAAACACATAAAATGGTAATTCCAAAAACGGTGCAATAACAGGGATGTTTTTCCGAACATTTTAGTATTGGTTTTATATTATAATGTCACGTAGTTAAATTGTTTAATTAATTTAAATGGTAAATTTATTTTTTTTGTTACATTTTTTCCCCCTAGAAATTAAGCCTTGTGCAACATAAATGGCATATATTTAAGTTAGTTTGGGCTCAAAACATAACAGCTGCAAAGAGTTTAATTGGCAAAAAAACAAAACAAATGTCTAATGAATGTCAAACGTCAAACTAACTTTACCGCCGTGAGAAAATGAACGACAAACGACATACTCACAAAAGTGTTCTTTTCTGCTACAAAAGTGAAAGTGCGCTGTAGAACTCTTGACCACAGACCCTTAGAAAAACTAAAAGAAAAACTCGACACACATGCTTGGCTTTGTTTTGCTGCGACAGCAAGAGTAATAGGCTAGGCCAGGGGTGCCCAAACTCGGTCCTGGAGGGCCGTGTCCTGCAGAGTTTAGCTCCCGCTTGCCTCCACACACCTGGAAGCAGCTAATCAAGGTCTTACTAGGCATACTAGAAACTTCCAAGCAGGTGTGTTGAGGCAAGCTGGAGCTAAACTCTGCAGGACACCGGCCCTCCAGGACCGAGTGTGGGCACACCTGGGCTAGGCTAAAAGCAGCCCGTTTTTGTTATAGCTAATGAGTCATTCCACGAAATAGCTGCTTTTCTATTTTGAAAGGTAAATGTATAAGGTATGGAACACCTATCCGTGTGCTCAATGTGTTCATTAAAATGCTATTTCTACAAATATCCAGCTTTTACATGATTAGTTTACTTTTCAAAGTCATGGTTACAGGGCTGACAGTTTAAGATCGC